AGATTAAATTTCCTCAGTGTGATGGATGCCCCAACTGCCGGCCCCATTCTTCCTGGGGCTTGGGCTGCCGGCTCCCCTGCTGCCGGGGGCAGGGCTCGGGCTGCCAGCCCCAAGCGGAGCGCTGGGGTTTGGGCTGCCGGCTCCCCCGCTGACCGCCAGGACTTGGGCTGCCAGCCCCAACTGCCCGGCCCCGCTCTTCCTGGGGCTTGGGGTGTCTGCCCTGCAACCAGGTCCCACCTGCTGTCTCCAATACCCGGGGTCCTCTGTCCGCCATTAGTGATTTTTTTCTGGCGAACCCCCTGTAACGTTCTGCAAACCCCAGTTTGGGAACCACTGGTGTAGACACTTCCTATGTTGATAGAAGTTTTTCCTTTCTTTGTAGTCAATCCACCTCTCTGAGACGTGATAACTAGGTTGCCAAAAGAATTATTCTGTTGATTTAGCTGTGCCTGCACCAGGGCTTAGGTCTACCAAACTATGGTGCTAAGGACACATAATTTTTCACAGCCCTGAGCAACATAGCTAGGTCGGTCTAATTTTTAAGAATAGACCCAGCCTTAATTTGGAAGTGAATTAAGATAAACCCAATTAACATCACTTTAATTTTGAATGAGAGTGTACACACAGGAGTTTAATGCAGTTTAACAAACCCACTTTGAATTCACACCTTTAGTTAATTTGGATAAATGTTTCTGCATGTACCCATTTAGACAAGCCCTTAGCAATCATTATTCTGAAGTGGAATAACCAGAGCCTAACCATAGCATATGGGTGAAATACATTTACTAGCACTCAACTGTGCAGTTATTTCACAGTTATTCTAAACTCTGGAGTCTGATTTGCATAAGTGCATAGCTGTTTCTCAATAACCAATATGCCAGCTCCTGTGCTCTGGCTACTAATGGCCTTTGGACATTAAATCAGAACACCATTGTTTGCTTAATTAATTTATTTCTAAAATGTAGAGATTTGTAAAAATTGTATACAGAGAATGTATAGTGCAGGCTTGAACCTGCATTACTGTAATTACTGGCACCTTTGCTACTGGCTTCAATGAACGCAAAGTGAATTCCTGCTCTCTGATCAGCTGTTACCCTCATAACTCCACACCCATATGTCCACAACAAACAATTCTACCTCAGGTTTCTCACTGCCTTCCCAGCCTATTATTCCCAACAATCTCTCAACTCTCGCATCCCCTAAAGATCCTGCTTCCTGAGGAAACCTAAGTTATCTCACCACACTCACACAAGTACACTTATTTTTAATATTTTTATCAGCTTTATAATTTGAGATTGCAATCTGCATACAGTGGAGTATAATCATTTTTCATGTTACTTAGCTACAAACGGAGCAGCAATCTCTTACATGTAGAGGTTGTCTCTTCTTACTGTTCTGTAAACTGCCTACCATTCTCTTGGGATTATACAACTAAACAGACACAATAGATGGAGTTCAGTTAATTTGTTTCATTCGGTTGCATACATGAAATCATTAGAAGCAAGATTCCCAATTTAAGATGATATTTACTGTTAAGAGTTTGTTAAAATTAAGATAAAGACTATGCTTAACCTAAAAAGCTGGAAATTTCTGTCACTGCTAACCAATCTCTACATTACCATCCATTATCTTCTAACTGTCTCTAAGCTATTTCACACTAGGAACAGGTGCAAAGCTGGTGGCCAAAGTGTGTTGAATGAAAATAAACCTTCATTACAGCACACACAAAAATACCTTGATGTTTCCCTTCTACTACTTCTCTGACTTTCCAAATTTTCTTCATATTTTCCCTTCAGCAACTCCCAACCACATCCCATGCTAAAATAATTTTGAAATTTGAATAGCATTACATCAGAAGTCTGTGGCAGTGCCATGAATAGATCCAGGTCCCCTCACTTCTACTCCCAATCCTGTGCCTTAACTTAAAGACCACCATTCATCTAAAATATAGTGTATGCTCATGCCGCTGTGAAAACTATAACTTCAAGGTTCCTTATGTTCATGCATAGAAAATACTATATGATGTCATTTCAGCCAAAATGCTGTCTTATTATTTTGCATTTAATATTATCATGAGTACAAGAAAGGGTGAAGGAATTCAGAAAAAGTCTGCAAAAGAAACAACACCATCTTCCTTAACATGATTGCTTTGACAAATGAACACTTCCTAATAGTGGAGTCTTTGAAGATTTAACAGACTAGTGCTACTTGTTTGAACAGGTTACCTAAAATTCTGTTTATTATTTTCACAGCAACATTTTAACTGTCAAACTAGAAAAGAACGTTCTATGTTTACCAAAAAGCAGAATGAAGCTTCAGAAAACGTTTTAGGCAGCTGGGAACACTCATGCTATTATATAAAAATTATTTCTAAATGTGGAATTAGTTGGTACAGTATAATAATAATAAATAATAACAACAACAACAACATCAACATCAACTTAGTGCTTTTCATCTTCAAAGTTCTCAGGCCATTAATGAGGCCCCAATCTTGCTTCCCCTGCATGGAGCTCCTTGCAGAATTGGGTCTTAATCCTCATGTCCCAGTGCGGGAAACTCATTTTCTGAAACACATCAGGGCAACTTTCTGCATCAGATATTTTTGGCCTTGGTTACACTACGAAAACAAGCAAGTTCAACAATGGCTTTTGAGCATGGCTGTGGCCCTACTGATTTAAAACTAAATGTGGTCCAGCCTGCATGGACAAGGCTATACCTGCAGGCTAAATTGTAATTTAAGTCATCTAGACCTCAAATTAAGTTTAACCACTGTTGTCTGACTTGATTGTTTTAGTTGTGGAGATAGGACCACAAAGATTCAGGAATTTACAATTGAATCTCCAGCCAAATACTGTTATCTTTAGATGGAACAATTAAAGATCACTAGTGACGTTCTGGAGGTACCTAGAGTTCATCAATATTTAAAGGTAATCCGTGATCAGAAACTTTATTTACAAGAATTCTTTATATTTTCTATTTGTGCAGGAAGACACTATTTGTGATATGCAGAAGTTCCCAACTTCAAAATGTTCCCTCCTACTCTGTCCCTGTCTATTTGATCACCTCCTGCTTTTCCTTTTCCAACACTCCAACTCCTAGTCTTACATATATCTCCTCCACACACACGACTCCTCTTTATTCCTTAACAAGCCTCTCTAAGAGCAAGTCTTTACTACAAAATTAAGTCAACTTAAGTTATGTCAACGTACTGCCAACACACTTCCATTGACTTAACTGTGTGGGGCACTGACAGCTGGAGCCCTGCCTGCCCTGGGGCCCACACAGACACTGCATCACCCTAACTACATCAACCTAAATGCTATGCCTCTCACAGAGGTGGAGTTATTAGGTCAGTGTAGTGGGCAACTTACATCATAGTAATGTAGACACTTACAGAGTTAGGTCGACATAAGCTGCCTTACAGTTGACATAACCCCATAGTGTAGGCCAGGCCTAAAAACAAACAAAAGAAAGGATAAAAGGAATGAAGAGAAGTAGCTTGGCATTGCTAATTTCTGAAGGGACTGGGTTCTGCTGTATTTGCTACAGTCATGGACCTCACTGGGTCAATACTGAGACTGGAGTGACCACTACAGTACATTTAATTAGAGAAAAAAAATTGCTCTTTGTAAACCTATTTACTGAACAGATTCTGCAGGGGAAAACACAGTATGTTACAGTAGCAGATACTAATCTCATTTTATCAGGAGTACTCTTTGTATTGCTGAGGGCTCTAATTCTCAGGGATCTTTTGAAAGGTGGTTCATGTTTATATTGACATAATAAGGAAAAGGATTTCCTATTACCACTTCCATTGCTTCCCACATGCAGGTGCTGTAAAGTTGGCCGTAGATGGCAGTTTCATAACTTTTGATGATCTAGACAATCATCCAACTTTACTCCAATTACTGCAACAAAATGATTTTTTTACATGACATTACTCAAGAAGTGAGGTCCAAATTGATTAGTATTTAGTGAGAACTGCAAAGAAAATTAAATTGCTGCAGGCAGCAGTGTTTCAGCCCTTATCAGTACCAAACCAATGCCCAAGCACTGGCAATAGGGGGCACTATAATTCAGTCTTTCAGATGAGAAATAAAACCAAGGTTCCAAGTCTGACCACTGCATGCATGACCACTTGCAGTCTTTTACAAAACCCAATGGCACTTTTTGCAAGGGCAGGTGTATTTTGGCCTATTTCCAGTTTACAATGAAAGTACCAACTTCAATTTCAATCAGATATGGTATCTGCCTTCACTTCCAGTCCTAAACTATTATGTAGGTTGCTGTGCGCTGTTAAACAACAGCTGCATTCTACCCCAGAGGTGGCTGTATTTCAGTGGCGGGTGGATCAAGTGGTTCCTGTTTACACAGCAAATGTAAAGTGCTTGGGGATGAAAGGTGCTGTATATATGAGTAGATTCATATAAAAGACCATAATTAACATGCATTATAAGACTACTACTGCACTCTTCAGGACAACATTACTGCTGCCACATAAATACCACCAGCCATCATAATCACGAAAAACCTGCCTGAGAAGAAATTGCGATGGGACGCTCGTGCCTTGTTCAGCTATTAGGAACAACTAAAGTCACCTCTTCTGGTGTTTTGTCCAAGCTCATTCAGATGTCAGTTATTTCCAACCTTCCCCACCTCCTCCTGCTTTGAATTGACACAGCTGGGAGAACAACGAAAACACAGAGCCAGAGCCCAGTGTCCGCAGGAGGGGCAGGGGGCGCAAGGGAGCCTGAGCTGAGTGGGACCCTAGGGGCAGGGAAAGCGATTTGGGAGGGACCTAGTGCGAACGGGGCGCGGGTGAGGACTAGGAGCAAGGGGGCAGGTCCGCGGGAGGCTGCGGGGGGAGGGCACCATTCCGCCACGGGCCAGGCCGCATTTCCTGGCAGGGCAGCGCTCCGGCGCGCTCCTAGGCCCAGCTGTAGCCGGGGCTTCCGCAAGCAACAGCTGCCGCCCGCCGTGCCGCAGGAGCCGGGACTCACCTGCCGGTAGCGGAGCCGGTAGGGCCGCAGGTACTGGGAGGAGGCGCAGGGCGCCAGCGCCAGCTCCTCTATGGCCTCCATCTGCGGCAGGAGCGGCCCGGCCTCGCCTCGCCTCGCCTCGGAACGGCCGCGAGAACCGGGGTGTGACTGCGGGCAGCCTCCGCCAGAGGCAGGGAGTCAGCGCGGCATCGCGCGCAGCCCGCGCGCCAACCGTTATTGGGCTAAGGCGAAAGGAACGTCCCCCCCCCACCCCCCGGCAACCGTCCAGCTAACGGGGAACGGGCGCCCCCCCCCCAGCTGTCCTCAACTGAGGGGGAACCGAGACCGCCCCAGCTAAGCGGCAAGGACCCCCTCTCCCACCAAACCGTCCAACTAAGGGGGAAGGGGAGTTTTCTCTCACATTTCCCCACAGCCAGAGGGAACTGAAACCCCTCTTCCTCCCCCCGTGCACCCAAGTACATGTCTACATGGGGTGCTGAAATCCTTTTCCCCAGTGGGGTCAGGTCAATGGCAAAAAATGCCATCGGCTTCAGTGGAGCCTGGATTTCAGCTGCTGGGTTTTCGAGGCCCCCTTCCTTCACTGGCTAGGGGCACGTCTACATTATGGACACAAGCCGCTGCGGTGTAGACCAGTGGTTCTCAAACTTTTTTTCCTGCGGACCACTTGAAAATTGCTCAGGGTCTCAGCAGATCACTGAATGATCTTTCCAAATGTTTGTACCGTTAGCTAGCTATTGTAAAAAAAAAACCTTAATAAACTTTTTTGTTCCACAACTCACATTTTAATATCCATAGTCTTACCTTTCTAATGCAATGGATGTGCCCTCTCTTCCCCGCCATGGTGGCAGCCCCTGAGCTGGGGCTGGGAAGGAGGCCATCTCTCACCTCTTTCTCTGGCTGCCACAGCCCCGCACATCCAAAATTCTCCCAACGCCCTCTTCTAACCCCACTACCTCCTTTTCCCTTCAAGGCCACCACCTCACATTACAAGTGCATCTTCTCCAGGGTCCAGGTGCCTAATTAGTGGAACCACGCCTGCATGGCTCCACTAATTAGATGGGAGGCTCTTTCTTCTCTTGTGTATGGCCGCCCAAGTGCACACCTTAGAGGGAACTATCCACGGACCACCTGAATGGAGCTTTCAGACCACTAGTCATCCATGGACCACAGTTTGAGAACCACTGGTGTAGACACTTCCTGTGTCGCTGGAAGGGGTTGTTCCATGGATGTAGGACCTACATAGGCAATCCACCTCCCTGAGCAGCAGTAGCCACCTCCCTGATTCCTTAGGTCAGTTTAGTTCCAGCATGCAGGGGTGAATTTTTCACAACTTTGAGTGATGCAGCTAGGTCTAATTAATTGTTAACTACAGACAAGTCCTCACATGAGTACTCCCACTGAAATGGCCTCATTTGCTTAAAATAAAATGTGTTTGTGAGTATTTATGGGAAATGGGATCAGGTCCCAAAGCTGCACCCCAATACACTACATGTTGCCTTCTGAAAAATACATCTCCACCCAAAGACACAACGTGTCACCTTCTCACAAACATCCCTTCAAAACACACACATTCCCATGCACCTCTGCTTACATGTCACAAAAACACAAAGATATATTTCTCTGCACATTTTCCTTGGATATAATCCCCACGTCCCAGGCTAGGCTGGTTTTGAACCTTCTAACATAGATATGTATCTTGATAATGAAGCTATTAAAAATTGCTTCTGTCTCTTGCTTTCCTTAATCTCTGAACAGACTTGTGAATATCCACATCCTATATGCAAAACAGGGATGTAGTAGAGACCCAGGGGGGTTCAATCTTATACTCTTACGGTTCACAAAATGTCGTACTTATTTGTGAAGTAATTTTTTTAAATTGATGTTAAATTTCAGAACTTAATATTTTGGTATACAGCTTCATTTTGTCACCTTTGTATAAAACTGTAGGCCCTGATCCTGCAAAGACTAGCACATGTGTCGTGTTTAACTTTGCACACAAAGGCCAAGAAAAAGAAAGCTGAGAGTTTCACAAAACAACATGACTTCAGGAGCTGGAGCTTTAAGAAAAAACTCCACATATTGCAAGACTTGTGGTAAAATTGCTGCCTACGACTAGTAAATTCATTATACTTTAATTACAAGATTTATTGTGCAAAAAATCCATTGCCAATTAGCCAAAAAGCTGCATCTTACAACTAAGTAAACTCTACATTTCATAACTCTGACATATTTGCTTGAGCCTGCAATTAATTTTTTTTTGGTGGGGAGGGGTACAGGTGTCCTCCTAGACAGAGCTTATTGCTTTTGTCATGAAATACAATTACTGTAAGTGTTACCAACACCAAAGCCAAAAGTTATGTTTTAGTCATTAAGAATGAATTATGCAAGTGACCTAAAGTCAATTGTATAATTTGCTAGTTTACTTCAATGTCACAATCCACATATCCTACCTCATTTATTATATTTTTGCAAGTACAATACAGGCAGAAATATCTTAAATTCTTCACTGCAATGCAATGGTTAATATATACACATACAATCAACCGATAATAAATTCAAACTTTAATTTCCAATTTGTCAGCCTTTTTAAATGCTACAATGTTGTGATGGTGATTATGGAGTAATGACAAAACTTTATAAATAATACTACTTGGTACTTGTAGTATACAGTTATTTTATTTCAAAGTATTTTATAAACGGAAACAAATCTTTTTCCTTTACTGATATCTATTTTGTCTGATTTTTTCTTTCTAATTCTAAGCAGATATCATTGATCTTATGGCCTATATACTTTATAAGAGTGACCTATATTTACTCACTATTTTTTTATTGTGCATTGGACTTGTAAGCTATTTCAGTAATATCACCTCCAGTTCATGTTATTTTAATTTATATAAGTATATTTATAAAACATACTATCTGGAGCCTGTGTGATTTTTTTTAAAATAGCTTACACTGGATGACTCTTGGTCCCCCTAAACTATATACCACCCTCAGACTCAACACCTGTTGGCAAAGCCCTGAGAAAAGAAAAGGGCCTTACACAATGCCTTTGAGGTCAACAGATGGGTTTCTGGTGCTTTGGGAATTACAGGCTTGCGTTCATTTACAAGACTAGGAGTCAGGAGAGCTGGATTATTACATTCCTAGTTCTGTCACAGTTTTGGGGCAGATCCTGAACTGATGTACATGGTCATAGCACCATTTACCTCAATGGCACTATGACAATTTTATCAACTAAGGGTCTCCCACCCCGTGTGAATTTTGGACAGAATTTAGGGTCCAGTTCTATTCTAATTGAATCTGTGGCAAAACTCTCATTGACTTCAATGATGCAGTGAAATGTCTCTCAGCCTCAGTTTGTTCATGTATAAAATGTAGATAATAAGCATTGTCTACAGTGTACGGCTGTTGTGAGGCTAAATTTGTTAATATTTATAAAGTGGTTAGGGTTCTTTAAATGGAATATGAGCAAAAATATTATAATTGCATTTGTACTTGCTTGAAGCTATTTAATTCAAAAACATGTTTTTTGTGAACATTGAGTAATCTGTTTTGGAATAAAAAACTATAACAATATTGCAAAAACTAAAATATCTTCATATTCACTGAAGTGTAAAAGGCAAGGTAATAAAATTTCATTGTTATTAAATATAAAATACCTCATTGTTGCAGTATTTGCTGCATGTGAAATGGAAGTAACATAAACACCAATCTTCTCTAGCAGAAGAATAAACAAAAGTTTTATTAGATTCATAGATTCCAAAGAAGGGACCACTGTGATCATCTAGTCTGACTTCACTATTCCCATCTACCAAAAAACATTCTTATTAATCATCCGTCTCATGTTTTTTTAAACAGATCATCCTTAGATTTGAAGGTCTGCTAGTTTTACCGGGAGTTTGGCTATCAATACACAACAGAAGGCTAGGTTCTCTTTCATGTTTTTGATACTCCCAATACTGATTTAACAGCATTAGGTTTTTGAACAACAGAAGCTCACAATTTGTCATGGTTATTATCTCTGTGATTTATGTTCACTTTCCATACAACCTTAAGGCAGATGTCTGTGTGCACAACTATTCGGCAATCACCACATAACTCAAACTATTTTGTCAATATATTGATTGCACTAGGACAATATTCTGATATGCCAGCCATCTGTTTATTTTTGCCTTCTAATCTAATACTTTTTTGTTACATCATCTACAAAGTTTATTGCCATCTCATATAATAGTAAGAACCTTACCAATATGACTAAAATGAGAGGAGTCTTTGCTATCATAAAATTTACTTAGTGATAAATTATTTACCTTTTATATTACAGAGCAGTTACCGTCAATTCTAATAAAATCTTAATATTTTGTCACTCATATTATGGGACTGAATAGTATTAAATTTTAAAATATATATGTTGTAATGAATAGACAACAATGTATTATTAGTTGATTAACTTAGATTATATAATTTGAAAAACATTGGTTAAATTTATCCCTATCATAACTCCATTTGCATAGATGGAATTACACCAGACATGAATTTGTCCATATGTATCCCTTTGGTCAAAATAATCTACAGATCATTTAAAACTCTAGTGAACTGTAACTAATACTTTTATTTTAAAATTATTTCAATTTCCCCAGCCCAGTTGGAATATAAACACAGTTCTAATGTGCAGTAAGTTTACAGTAACACTGTTTACTGATATTAAAAGGTATAGAGTATCTAAATCTGTTCAACCAATCAGATTACTCTGCAAAATAAACATTTCTGATCCTACTTTACTTTTGTTTTGTTTTAGAGAGAGATCATTGTGTATAATGGATTGCTCATACCATTCTCAGTGCTGTACAGGAAGCTTTTGGAATTTTAAATTTTAAAATATATATTTATGACCTGTGATACTTCATAGACCAACTTCTGCAAACACACATGTTCTTAACTTTATGTGTGAAGCATTGAAGTAAATCATCTTTGATAATAAATGGAAGTTGAATGGGAAATATATTTGAGAAAATTCTCACTGAAAAGGCCATATGTTTTCTGGGGTTGTGGAATTGCTGTTGTAATCCAAAGAAAAGGAAGTCTTCTGATAAGGAAAGAGGTTTACAATGTTCTTCGTGAAGGTACTAACTGATCTAATGAATAGAGAGTGAGAAGCAGACCCTTACATAACATACTCAGAGTTATCATTATGTAGTCTGAAATCTGAGTGAGAAAATGAATAGAAAAATTTATG